TATTACAAGGGTAACTTTATCTTTTATTCATTAATTATGTTTTTAAATTGTGAATACATATTGAATAATATATGACTTTTTTCACTTAGAATCGTATGCGGAACTAATGTTCTAAGTGGAAAACCTAGAACAAAGACATTGCGGTTCATTTATCCTAAGGTTAGAAACTTATTTATATAAGTGAATACCATAATTATTGTTTATATTTCAATTTTGAAAATAATATTATGTTTTTTTCATCATTTCGGTGTAATAAGCAAAGCTGACTCGTTTGAATGTGGTTACTATGTAATGTATTGGATGAGAGCCATAGTTTGTGCGGGTTTAATTGATTCTTGGACGGAGGTAATTACTTTTAACATTAGTTAAGTTTATTTAACTTTATTCATGTTGCATGCTTACAAGAGTCAAATTCATGTTTCAGGTATTTCAAGATCCATCTCCATTACGAGAATCTGAGATTACAGAAATTAGAGAACAATGGGCAAAATTTTTTGTTCTACAATTCTAGTACATTATTTTTTATGTTCTTGTTCATATTATATTGTGTGTATTATGTAGTTTAGTTTAGTTTGTATAGGTAGCTTAGTTTGTATAGGTAGCTTAGTTTGTAATAGATTTTTTAGTTTGTATGTTTGTATTATTTTGTTTTATTATGTAGTTTGAATTATATAATATTATATTTTTAATTTACTAGCAAAAGAAAACTGCTCTGAACTGTATCTGGTTGTAATTTTTGCAGGTTTTAGTTGTAAAAGCGAGTAAATAAACCCAATTTAAAAAAAAAACAGGTAAATTTACGTCGCATATTGGTATATACGACGTAAATTTACGTCGCATATACCAATATGCGACGTAAATTTACGTCGCATATACCATATGCGACGTAAATTACGTCGCATATTGGTATATGCGACGTAAATTTACGTCGTATATACCAATATGCGACGTAAATTTACGTCGTATATACTTGTATGCGACGTAAATTTTCTGTTTTTTTAAATTGAAAAGGTTTTTACGTCCGTTTATTGTATATGCCACGCAAAATTACGTCGTATCTTCATAACTGACGTAAATCTACGTCGGGTAAAAGGGTCCGACGTAAATTTACGTCTCCCGCTTTTACGTCGGACTTAAATACGACGTAAAAAGCCCTAAATACCTGACGTAAAAGCCCCTTTTTGCACTAGTGACTTTTTGTAATGTAAGCAGAAATCATTGGCAGTTGTTGGTTGTTTGCCCAAAGCAGAATGTTGTGGCTTGGTTCTGCTCACTGGGCAAGAAACCTGATGCAGATCTTAAAAACATTGTAAACAGGTACACATTCTTATAATAATTTAAACAATTATTAATTGTTTTGTTACTTAATTGTTTCATTATATCTTGTATTGCACGATGCATTTAAGGTTTGCAATACAATTGATGGAGTACACACAAGCAAAAGCACGACTCCAGATTGGATTTTTGTTAATGTAAGTCATTTTATATTTATGTATTATATCATTCATTTTATATGTCAAATTAATATATTATTTTTTGTAGTGTAATAGGCAACCAGGATCTTATGAGTGCGGATATTATGTTATGCACTGGATGTGGCTGATTGTTGTTAGCAAGACTGAGGATACATGGAATCAGGTTTGCTTAAATTTAGTATTCAATAAAAGACCCAGTATTGTGTCATTGGATACTCTATTAAATTATCTTTTTTCTTGTAACATGTATTTTCAGACAGGGAAGCATTGCCCATAGAGACCATTGACGATATTAGAAACACATGGGCCGATAAGTTTGTTAAAGTTAGAAGTAGGCAAGTTTAGTTATTAATTTAGTACTTAGTTTAGTAGTTAGTTTAGTAGTTAGTTTAGTAATTAGTTTAGTTACTTTACTAGTTAGTTTACTAGTTAGTTTATTAGTTAGATTAGTAGTTAGTGTATTTGGTAGATAAGTAGTTGGATACACTATAATTTTGGATACAATTTTATTTTTGGATGCACATTCAATTGTTTATATCTTGTACATTGTCTGCCTGGGTTGTATTCAAATTTGCAGGTATGTATATATACAAACATTGGGTACCCTGTATAAACAAAACGTCCATTTAAAAAAAAAATAGACTTTCTACGTCGGTTCATACCATAACCGACGTAGTAAACACGTACTCGCTTGAGCGACGAGTGTACTCGCTTGAGCGACGAAAGCTTCAAACAAAGGGGACTCTCGGGTTCCATCTCGCTTGAGCGACGAGTGTACTCGCTTAAGCGACGAAAGCTTCAAACAAAGGGGACTCTCGGGTTCCATTTCGCTTGAGCGACGAGTGTACTCGCTTGAGCGACGAGTATACACTTTCAACGTCGCCTGATACAACGTCGGTTGTATAACCGACGTTGAAAGCCTTATATAACCGACGTTGAAAGGCATATCTGTAGCAGTGAGAGTTATTTTCTACCTTTAATTTTTTTTAATGAGTTATATTTCACTATATTTTTAATAAATATTTTTTCTCTTAATTTATTCACATGTTTTTTTTAAGATAAAATCGTATCATAATAGAATTTTAAAACTAACCATACAATAAATATATTAATTAATTCTAATAATATTATTATTAGAATAATATCTTCTTCTTCGTATACGGAATATTTACATATTTCCCAGCAAACTTTTTATAAATAAAAAATCTTATAAATAAAATTCTTACCAAATGTTATATGAACTTTTTAAAGTAACACATAAAATTTATATAAAAAATCTCACAAAAACTAGTTTTAGTGGTGATTTGAAGTTTACATCACTTATGTTATAATATATTTATATATGATCATTAAATCCAAACCAACCAACAAGTATATATCCCTGTAATTTTGATGAAAAAATATAACTGTAATAAAGAATCCCTGTGACCAATCCGATTTGAATTCTCTTGCATGCTCCATTTGTGCTTGGATGGATGAAAAATTTGAGCGACTGAAAACAAAAAAAAAAAACAAAGAGTGAAAATTATAATTATTTTGATTGAAAAAAAAAGTTAAATAAGAGAAGCTACAAGAAAGATTTTAGTTGATAAATGATTTTACTGATTAAAATAATTAAATAATAAAATAAATTATTCAATAATAAAAATATACTTAGTGTAAATTTAATAAAAGTAAATATAAAATAAAATTGAGTTATAATTTAATGTTAAATAATATTAAAAATAATTTGTAAAAAATGTCAATAATTAAAAATAGATAATATATAATTTTTTTACATATCATATTTTTTAAAATATATATTTCAAATAAAAAAATAATAAAAAAAATTATTAGTCCAATAATGTCTTTTGTACTACCAGTGTTTAATCGTGAACAACAGTATCATTTTATAGGTGCTATTGGACTTTTAAGTCTTTACTTAAAGTAAAAAAAAATTATGAAAATCGAATCTTTTCTCGTATGTAAATCCAAATTAACACTTATTATATATTTTCCTCTGCTTGTTTAAAAACAAAAAAAAATTAATACGAAAATTTTCAATTAACGAAAATCCTTAGACTTCAACTTCCAAAGTAAGATTTTATGATTTCTACATAAATATTTTCTGGTGACGCTGAACTGATAGAAAGTATGGGCTTCCTGCTTATATGTGCAGAATAAGTATCTGCGACAGCCAAGAATAGTTTGTGGCTTTAATTCAACCAAAAAACAAGTTTATTCCAGCTTCAAACTCACAAGTATCAACAAATAATGGGTTTATTAAATACCAAACATAGTTTTCAAAAATATAGTGTATTTTAATAAAAAATATCAGCATAAAACTAATATCAAAATATATAAGAATTCAAGACTTTTAAATAATAAAACATATATATATATATATATATATATATATATATATATATATATATATATATATTTCCCCAAGTAGAGCTATGGGAAAACATACAGATAAGATAGTTTATATTTATTTTTGTTGGCTCGTGTGTAGTGTATCCAAAATATATAGCAGTAGTAAAATAATTTATACATAAAAAAAAAAATTGACCCCTTACATAATTGCAGGCATGTGTTGGAAAACACTAAACATTACAAAAAAAAAATTCTGTATAAGTTAAGATTAATTTATACATAAACTAATTTATAAAAAAAATACTTTATGTTAATTTTTTAAATATAATTTTTAATTAGTACATAAATTAATTTTAGTTTATAAAATATTTATGGAGAAATTTATCAAAATATACTCTAAATAGTTATCTACTATATATCTCAATGTTTATTTGATATATATTCAAAATTTTAAATTTATAAAAAAATGAATAACACTTATATTTTTAGGTCTAAGTAAGTCATCATAAACGGACTGCCCAGTGGTTGTGTCACAAAAAGCAATGGGAAAGTGTAAATACGATAAAATCAAATCAATAACAAAGGAGCGAGCAGTGAAATTTTTTTTCTTCCGAAAATCTTTCAATATTAATGTAAAAACCACAAGTCATTCAACAACAAAATAGATTTCTAATAATTAATGGAGGGTACAAAAATTCCAAATAAATATACGCATGATGCATGTAATAAGTCAAAACAATCTTAAACAACAATCACCGTATACTCTTCTTCTATAGTTTGAGTAGATGTTTGAACCGTTAGGTTGGAAAAGTTAGTCAAAAGCATAGGTTGTTTTTCCACATTGTGATACAAAAGTGCATAAACTGTGAGTTACATTTGCAGTTATATATGTTACAAGTGCCACATTCATGCCACGTCTTTAATTTTTGGCTAGTTAATTAATTAAGTCTATTTAAGTTGATTTTATATTGTTTTTATCAAGGGTTGGGTGTTAATTGTGTTTAATTCGACTTGGAAGAGGAGAAGGATCAGAACAGAAGAGCATGAAAGAAAACTTCCATTTATTTCGTTAATCTATAAATATAGTGTACGTTATACGTACTTGCTTCCCTAAGTGACCATTGCATTGCATGGTATATAGTATACATACTATTAAGAATATATTTTAACTCAAAAACCTCCACCATCACCACCGAAGCCACCACCAGCGCCCCCACCACCTCCAAAGCCGCCACCAGCTCCTCCACCTGCACCACCTCCAAAGCCACCACCAGCACCGCCACCTGCACCACCTCCAACGCCACCACCAGCACCACCTCCACCTCCAAAGCCTCCTCCTGCACCTCCACCAGCACCAACTCCTCCCCCTACTCCACCACCATGCCCACCGCCAAAACCTCCACCGGCACCTCCACCAGCGCCTCCACCAATTCCTCCTCCTGCACCACCACCTTTACCACCTCCAAAACCACCACCAGCACCTCCACCTGCACCACCTCCAATGCCTCCACCAGCACCACCACCTGCACCACCTCCAATGCCTCCACCAGCACCACCACCTGCACCTCCACCACCACCAATTCCTCCTCCTACACCACCACCGGCACCTCCACCTCCACCAATTCCTCCTCCATGTCCACCTCCAATTCCTCCTCCAATACCACCACCTTTACCACCTCCAAAACCCCCACCTGCACCACCACCTCCACCGACTCCGCCTCCAATGCCATGTCCACCTCCAATCCCTCCTCCTGCACCACCACCTCCGCCAAAACCTCCACCACCACCTAAGCCACTTCCAAAACCGTCAACTAACTCGTTTTCTTTTATTTTTCTGCATTCTGCTACTCCTATGACCAACACAAATGCCACAGCAAGTACTGCTACATAGCTTTGTAACTTCCCCATCTTTGCACAGAGAGAGAAAAAATATAGCGGAAAATGCTTGCTGTGAGAAAGCTTGGGAAAAAAGGACTTATTTATAGTGTGAACAAGAGTACACACACCATTAATATCGTAGACTTATGCAGATCTCAACAATCCAACACCGTCAAAAGTTCAAACTTGTTCGGAAGACAAAATCCACGGGCCGGTGAAATCTTAATTGTCATGTCCCAACCATCAACTACTTCATTTAAGTATTTAAGTACAGTGGAGTGGGAGTAATAACTATTAACAAAAATGTTAACATCTTCATAAGAACAAACATTGAGAAAGTCAAAGCAACTAGCCTGCTCGGGTCATTATAAGACTTTAAATAATTATTATTAGGCTTTTTGGGATTTCTGCTGTAAATTATCTTAATGATCAGATGCTAAATTGGACATTCTCTTTTATCAAGAAATGGAGTGGTTATTCATATTTTTTGTCAATGTAAATGCAATCAAAAAATAGAAGTCTTTATTGGATATATAAAAATATGTTTTTTTTTATAAGTTTTTAATGCATTTGATATAATTTTTTTAATATTTTTTAATTTCTTTAATCAGTATCTTATAACATTGATTAACAGGATTCTTTTATGAGAGCTAAATGGATATAGAGTTGCAAATAAACCAATAACGAAAAGTAATTATTTATCATGAAAACTGTTATAAAATTCAAATTAGAAAATTTTCTCTGAGAATTTTTTAGACGTACAAGATAACAAATAGGAAATAAGTTATGAAATGATTTTTTTTAATCTTCTTGTATTTTATTATTCCTTTCTTTATATTAAATTTATTCGTCTTACATTATTAAATAAAAATAAAAATATTATTTACTATTTTTATAGTTTTTTTTCTTAATGATATTCTTTATGATAACTTGAACGTTCCTTATACTAGTATCAATAAAAAAAAAGTTCTCTCTTACAAAATTAATTATTAATTTTTTCATATATTCTAAATTTGATTCTACTCATTACAAAATTTACAACAATAACACCTTAAAAATAATTAGTTCAACTGACATTCCTGATAACTTTATTTAGAGTATACATTCAATTGACACCATACATATAAATTTCACTATTATTTATAATTTAACTTTGAAAGTTACCCTATTGATTATAACAAATTTTATGTTTTTGAACCTTGTCATTTTTGCTAAATAATTTTTTTTATTTCTCATTAGTTAATTTACTTTCAACCTATTTTGTTATGTTCATATATATAAAAAAAATAAAAATTAATGACAGATATTTTAGGATGCAAGCCTTGTTCATTTTTCACATGTTGATTTTTCACTTATTGGATATAGTATATATCTTGAATCTTCAAGTCTAAAAAGTAAAATATAAAATTATAAGTTTTTTGAATTTTAATACACATTAACAAAAATTATTTGCACATCCAATGACTTTTTTTTCTTTGTAAGATTTCTAAATTCCCTTTAACATGATACCTTTGCTATACTACGAAAGCAATGTGCCTTGCCTTACACATCACACTCAGTCCAATCTTCCACAAACGTTCGAATATATGTTAGATTGAAGTGTTATATTGCAAGGGAAAAAGCTCACCACAGAGCACTGAAGTTACTTTTCATATCTTCTCCTCATTTGTTAACCCATATATTCATACCAAAATTTCATGTCCTTCATACATGTTTTGACTTTTTATTATGTTATTTTTTATGATTTTTTGATAATTTTTATTTTATATATCTTTAGAAATGTAGGGTTGTTAATCATTAAACAAAGAATAAAGTTAATTTGACATATAGTGGTATTATTTATATATAAAAGAAGAGATATAATATAATCATATTTTAAAAATTAAAAGAAAGAATAGAAAGAAAATATGTAATAAATAAAATAATAATATAAAAAATGTACAGCACCTCTATTTCTATGTAATATTATTTTTTATTGCCAGAATCTATCTAGAAAAGTAAAGTTTGTGCATAAAAGCGTGTTTATTTTTAAGTAAATTTAAAATAAGTAAATTCTTAAAATGTAAAGATTTATTTAAAGGACTAATATCTGAAAAAGAATATTTTTCTACAATGAAGATTCAATCTCTAACAACACACTAAAAAGAACATGGGTATCGATGAAGAGGGTAAACCAAAGTTACTTCTTGGAACAGAATGACTTAGTTGGTATATATATTGAATGCTGGTCGTGGTGAAGGACAGAGAGATTAATTTTGATCCATTTTGAGTGTGAGTAAAAAGTGTAGGTAGACATTTTTTCTATAAGCGACTGGTATTGGCAGATGGCAATTATGAAATGTTGCAGGTTTTCTCGTCCATAACTGGCAACCTTGCCCTACCCATCTGCATTATTTGTCAGTCCCATGTTATATATGGAATCAGCATGTGAGCTACATTTTCAGCCATTTCACATCAGATTCTGTAAACTTCATCATCGTGTTTAGTCCTGTTTTAGCAACATACCACCCTACCACATGTACAAATTGCTTCATTAATACACAGTCATTAAAGATACTTTACATTAAAAAGGTATTTTATGTAACAAATAATTAGTTATACAAAAATTAAAGAATGATTGTTAAAGTAAATATCCTGCGTTTTTCTATGGCTCATAGCTTTTAATGTCCTCGTTCAGTTTTTTTTAGTTAATATTAAAATCACTAAAAAATAATTAATATAAAAATGAAATAATACTAAGTTCAATATGATTATCTAGTAAAGCTATTGAAACAAATTAAAGAATGCTAGTACAAATAACATGCCAGCGTTTCTTTTTTATAATAACAATAATAATACTATTTTAATGTATAAAAATATTTTACAATATTGAAAAGACAAGATGAATAATAATTTATATATATATATATATATATTATTTTGATAATAATAAAAAATCAAACTCAATTTTTTAGATGCAAAATATCTCTATCATAATGTAAATTTTCTTTAATTTTTTTTATAACACAAAAAATAAGAGATAAGCTGACGTATCTTAATCTACAATATATATATATATATATATATATATATATATATATATATAATATTAATTATTATTTTAATACAAATTTATAAATATAAAACTAATTATACAAATTGATGCATAATTAAATATATAATTTATTTTTTATTATGATATTATTTTATCAATTTAAATTTAAATATTTTAAAAATAAATAATTTATTAACAAAAATGTTTTATAACCAATCATTAATTATATAAATTAATTTAATTTAATTATTTATTATTTTTTAAAATAAATATTTTTTCTCTTCATATCAATTTATTTTTAAATAAACAAAAATATTTTTTCTATTTTATTTCAAATCTCTTTTTTATATTTTTTTAAACTTTTTTCCTTTATTATTAAACAAACCCTAAAAATATGAAGATAAACAACATATTTAATTTTAAATAATATTCAATTTTAATTTATTTTAAATACTTATTATTTTAATTATAATATTATTACTTATTTATAACTTTGAAATAGCATTATGCAAAGAATGAAAATATTTTAAATTATATTTATTATATTTTTATTTTAATATATTAGCTTTAATGTATATATATATATATATATATATATATATATATATACTTTATTTATAATTATTTTATGATATCGTCGTTTAATATAGTATTTATCTTATATTTTTTCTTTTTTATTCTTCAATTAAACATTTTTCTCGATTTCGCTTTAATATAGTTAAAATAAATAAAATTAATTAGTTTTTTTCTTCTATTCAGTAAATTACACGTTTCTTTTTCTTTATCTTTTCTTCAAATTCTCCTTTATTTGTTTACAATGCATAATCTTATAAATAAATAATCTTTAAAATTAATATATATATATATATATATTTATTTATTTATTTCCGCTGGTATATATATAGTTGACGAGTCAATCCTTTCTACTCTAATTTTTAACCCATCAGTTTCGGAAACTAGACCAGACAAACTTTAAGAGAGGAAAAAGAAATAAAAAAATATAATCTTAACTTAAGAGCGGGGACATTTTTTATCCTCTCTATTGTTGTGATCCGTATTTTTTATGAAAATTACTATATGTTAAATAAAATTAATAGTTATATAGTGTTTTTCCCCTTCTAATGCTTTTATGTTATTCTTTTTCTTTTCATATTATAATTCTTAAATAATTTAATTCTATTAATTTAGTTCTTAATAAACATTTTAATACGACATAAAAAGTTACAAATAGAATTATACGTGCTTAATATGTGGTGTGTGAAATTTATAAACTATAGATCATAGCATTTTCCCAATCTAAAAAAATATATAAAAGTTCACAACTTCTTGATTAAATGAAACTTTAAATTATTTTTTATATATGAATAAAAAATTATTTATTCTATAATTAATGAATGTATAAATAAATAGGAAGTTTTTATTAGCAATTTAAGTAAATAAACTATTTTATACACAAGTCGTTGCATAAGTATGTAAAATTTAAACTTAACTTATATATAAATAATAAAATATAAATTAAAGATTTAATTGATTTACTAAATTAACAAATGAATTTAACCACTATTTCACAAGTAAAGCTCGCATAATTTAAGAATAGATAAACTTGTTTAGTGGTGAGAGTCTATTATTTCATTGTAAGATATTATACACTATCTAATAAAAGTTACAGTGATAATTTTGTAACTATTGGAAGAGATATTATATCGATGTAATATTTTTTTTATAATTTTCAATTTTCTTTTTGACTCACTCCTGATGAGAAATATGAAAATATGAATGAAATTTTACTACACCTTAATTCTTCTAGTAGTGTTTTATACTACCATATTGCATTTTAATGTGTTATTATATGATTTTTTTGGTTTTTGTTAGATATTTTAGGGATCAATAATAAAGAGATTTTCATAATGAAATATAATATCAACTTTTAATCTAAAATTTTAAAGCATCTAGGTTATGAATATTTTTCATAAATTACTAAACTTTCTCAATTTTATATCTAACGTGTGATTTTAAACTCACATTTGAATTTTCAATTATAGTAGTCTTACTTGTATCATCATTCAATTTATCGAAACCAATGTTGAGTATTTTTAACAATAGAGATTATCACAGATAAAACACAGATTAACCATATAAATATGACATCTTCGGACAATGTTAAATTATTGATCTTTCTCTTTTCTAAGTTACTCAATTTTTTTTATTTTCATTAAATAATGTAGAACTTTAAGAACCGTTTTAACCATTGTTATTTTTTAGAAGTATTCTTCATTTTTTTTTTCATTTGCTTTCCCAGGACATTTGTCATTGTAAGATCCTTGTCCGTTGACTCTTAAACCACTATAATCTTTTTTAGTGACAAATTCAATGTAAAATAAATTTATTGCAATTACATAAAACGTATTTATTGACATATCAATATTAATGAAATCTCATAAATTTTGACGATAAAATTTGACACAACAAGAAATAAAACATTTAAGATGACTGAAAATGATCTAAAGAAAAAGAAAAACTTATTTTATAGGAAAATAATTTATATTGATTCACACTATAATATGATATTTGTCACACACTCAGTAAAAAAAAAATCAAAATAAATTATGAAATGGATTATTCATGACATTTGTTATGAAATGAAATTGTTGCATCCCACTACTAATCTGAAATTAGTAAGATCAATCCTTGAAGTCCTATAAATATAATGAAGATTATTGTGTAAAGTAAGTAAGTGAAGCATTTATTTTGATAACAGCTAAATTTAGAACTACCCCACCATTTGAATTTGATGAAATTCAGATGAGCACCACTCTAGAGAAAAAAAAAAAAATATATGAAGCCACATGCAACCAAGTTGAGAGAAACTAGAGCTTCGGCAGCAACACTTGGAAGCGAACAACATCTCTATCATATCAGTAATAATCACTTTGATTTTCAACAACAAAGAAAAAATGGACTAATTAATCAATGAATACAGAATAGCTGGACGGCAGCATCATGTGATCCATCAACCACCATATTCATCATCTTACGCCTTAACTGAGCTGCCCTACCTAGCTGTTCAACACTTCACTTAACAACTCAATTCAAATGTAAACGCTCTACATACCATTATTACCCTACTTTTCTGACCACACACATGCCAAAATTTATTGCACACTCTACGCCCTAAACAGCATCTATATGCACGTATCATCGGAAATATTAACCTGGATTTAGTATTTGAAAATATTTTACATTCAGATTAGTAAAGGATAAATATTTTGAAATTATTACCTATTATTTTATAGACATATTATCTCCTGGATCAAGTAGATATAACGAGAAAGATAATTAATATTATATATTTTTAATAAAACATTATTTTTAAAATTATTTTTATTTGTATTTTTACTCTGTAAAATCTAATTTATTCTTAAATTTCAACATTTTTAATAAAATCACAATTAAAATATATTAATGCCAAATTTGAATTAAAGAGATATTTATTACTAGCATTTAGCTTTCAAATAACACTGAAATTAGACAACAGTAATACGTGCATAGTGGACTGAATTCATCGTCACATGACACTGCTTGGCTATTTTTAAAATGACATCACGTAAAAATTAACTGCCAATTTAAAAATAAACACACCTAACAGCGCAAAGTAAATTTATAATTTTAAATTATTTAATGTAAACAAAAACTGCACAAAGTCTTATAGACGTAAAATGATGTAGTAAAGACAAGTCAGTCAAATTTTTCATTGGATACTAACAATTAACAAATTAGAGATAATTTCATGTTTATAATTTTGTAAAAAATAAAATAAATAGACAGATATTATAAAGCATTAAGTTCATCACATGCAATAACTATACTTGTATCATGTGCATCGTATACCATAATTATTGAATTATTTGAGAGATAAGATATTTTTAGTAGACACCAGTGATACTTCTGAAAGAAGCAGTTCAAAGTTATGATGAATAACAAAATTTGCATAAGTAGAGATATATGCATTATTTTGAAAATGGAACTTTTTTATTTTAATAAAGAATCAATGTATTATTTTTAAATAATTGAATTTTAATTAAATAAAATAAAATTAAAAATTTTTTGGAATAAAATTTATTAAATTTTTTATCAAATTAATTTTGATAAAAAAAAGTATGATATTTTTTAATATAATTTTTTTATAAAAATATAATATATTTTAATTTATTTTTATCTCATAATTACATTAGTTTTAAATAATAATTATTTTATGATATTTTGATCTTATTTTAATATATTTTATATTCATAATATTTATTATAATTTATGATAACTATTATAATAATTTTTTTATAAAATATTAATATTATTAATAAATTTATTATATTATAAAAATTATTTTATTAAATCTATTTAAATTCAATTAAAAATCTTAAAAACTTTTGAACTTTTAACTCCTATCTTTTCAGATTCAATTTTTAAACATTGTAAATATGATTTCGTAACCATTAATTTGCGTCCACATGCTTAATCATTTAAAACGAACAAAAGGTATACATTAATTAAAATTTACATGTTAATATAAAAAGTTATATTTAATTTTTAATTAGTTAATTATAAATTAGAATATATCATTTGGAGAATGAGACTCATTCCTCATGTATTCTCAATTACACACTCTCAACCATTTCTTTCTCCTTTTTTATTCTATGTACATTTTATTGCTCCTATAATTACTTACAAAAAATATTAAAATACCATTTTTTATTAGCACATTTAATCTCCTGATCTATTAATCTTTTTTAATAAATTGTTTTTGTATTTATAAAATAAATTTTAATTTTATGTCTACAATTTATTTATTTATTACTAACTTTAATTACAATATATTTTATGTTGACACTGAAAAATCCTTGGTCTTTTAGTGAATAAAACAATTGGACCTGGTTTAGTGGGCTAGTTACGAGAGTGTTTGAGGTAGATGTGTGTTGAGGCCAATAAGGCCCGAATGAAGTTCTTCCACCATTGGGCGTGATTTGAAACACCACAATTGAATTGTGTGAGTTCTGCTCTGGAATTTGGGTTTGTGGCAGAAGGTGTGAATTTGGCGGAGAGAGAAAAATGGAAGGTGCAGAAGAAGGAATAGAGAGGGTTGTGGACTCGAAGGACATGCAACAGCAGACAAAAGCTTTCGACAAGCTCACTGACCGGGTCGAGGATCACCAACTCGATTCCTCTCGCGTCCAAGAGGTTCTCTACTCTCTTTCTCTGACACCTTTTCTGTGTAATCACATTCGAAATTGGAAACACGTTCAAAATGGAATGATCGTGTTTATCAGCTTCTAAAAATCACGTCCTAAAAGTGAATTCAAACGCGCTATAAAGCAAACGTTGCAACAATTGCTGAATTATGCGATTGTTTACTAACGATGTTGTAGGCCATGGCATCAATTGCTGCATCTGCTGAAGCTGATTTGCAAGCCATGCGTTTGAGGTAAAGTCATTCCTAATTTTTTTTTCTGTCTCTTACATTTTGATCAATGATTAATTAACTCTTAATCTGTATTTTTTTTTCTCCCTGGTTTTAGGGAGAAAGAATTAGCTGCTGTTAAGATAAATGCCGCCGATGTTGACATTATCGCTAATGAATTAGAGGTAACTTCTTCGACATGTCGGTTTTTTTTTTTTTTTTTCTCATTTTTTTTTTCAATTAATTGATGTATTTGTGTATAATTGTTTTCAAAAGCTGGATAAAAAGGTGGCTGAAAGGACCTTGCGTGAGCATAAAGGTGATGCTGTTGCTGCAATCCGGCACTTGCTTCACTAGAGTTGTGGGAATGGAAGTGTTAGAGTTTCGCAGAGTCATACTTACCTGAATAAAAGACCTAACTTATTCAGAATTCATATAGCTGTACGATTCTTGTGCCGAAGCATGTGTTTAAATGTTTACAAAATTACTATATTCATACATCAAGTCCTTTCAGCACTTAAAGCATAACTTACATAAGGGAGCAAACAATAGATTAGCCTAGTTGTCTTGCATTGTTCTGCTAATGCTCTTATGTTCGGTGATGATATTGGACGAGACTTTGGGCTAAATATAAGCAGATAGGGCACCTAGGGATTAGTATTTTGTTTTGACTAAGATATATAGTTTCAAGCCAGAATATCTAGCTTGGATTGGGAAAGTGGGGAGTGGAATTTGAACACAGGATATCACCATAGGTAGTACCCTTTAGTTTGGAAAACAAATCTCACCGTTCAAACAATTTTTTCTTGAGAAATTCTGTGGTACCCACCGAAATTTAAGAGTTTTGGTACTATTATAATATTTTTTACTTACAGTTAAATGAGTTTCTATTTGATGAAGTTTTATCCCTCCTTCCCTCTCTTTGTTATGTGTTTAACTCATTCTATTATTGACTAAAACAATAACTGTATCAGAATTTTTGGATATCTCCAGGTACCATGACAGGTCTGTTCTTCTCCATGCATCAAATTGACTAATTGGAAGTAAACTAATGGCTAAGATGGCATTGGATAGGATCCTGTGTTCTTGATCCGTGGATCATCTATGCATAGTTGTTTTGGAGCGTGGAAATAACGTGAAGCTCCTTCATCTTCAGTTCAGTGCTTAATAATTTTTAACTATTGTACTTAACAGACTCTATTGTAAATTACTGTGTTCAACTGTTTGTGCAAGTGTTTATGACTTATTTTTACTATGTTTACCACTTCCTAGTCGATAGGGGCTAGATTCTCGATGTTACTTGAAGTTGACATGGTCATGAAGGAAGCATCCACTATGTTTTAGCCTACTTTTTTCCCTATTCAACAGGTCCCAATAAAACATATAGCTGCAACTGTTCTTCATGCTATGGTGTCTTTTCTTTATCTTTATTCCTGCAATGTCTTCAGAACCACTAGTTTGGCATTCTCCTTTTTTCTTGTTTGTTTGTCGGGGAATCCACTACTTTCATTATCTGAAAATATAATCCCATTTTCCAAAGTGATAAAAGCAACCTTAGTCCCGAAATAGGCTTTATAAATTCCCCACCATGAAGTTGTTTCAGATTTCTACCAGTTGCATGAGATGTTTCCCTCCTTATAATTGTTCTTCCGTGTCTCATTACTTCCATCACATTTTCACTAGTATACAGGAATTTGGTTGGAGGGGGAAAGGGGCTATGTTTGGCTCAACTTTCTTCTTGTTTAAAAGCTATTTTAAAGTTAAAACATAAAATAATTGTTGTCTGGTAATTTTAGTTTACAAACTATTTGAAAGCTAACTTTTTTAATAACATCAACTAGTTCAAAATGAGAGTTTAAGGTGTTTAGTCTTTTTTTTTTTTTAAATGAGGTTCTTAAATTTTTCAAGAAATTTTCTTTTAATGTAGTTAGGGCAACTTTTTTTAAGAAAAAAAAAATACAGTTAGGCCAAACACTTCCTAAATACAAATTATCATTAATATTCTCTTGAAAATGTCCATACAATATCATGTAAAAATATCTCATTGTATATAAGTAAGGTTTGACAATGTTATAAGAAACAGTTTGTTGGAAATGAAAGGGCCTTTTAATCTGAAATAAGTATTTTTTATTTTCACTTTATTATAAACAATTTGTTGGAAATAAAAGGGCCTTTTAATTTGAAATAAGTATTTTTATTTTCACTTTATTTCTTTTCAAACCTTTGTATAAGAAATATAACAAAAATCTTCACTGTGAGATCGATGTAAAGATCAAATGATACCATTAAACTATATTTAAAGACCAAATATTCAAAGATACTATTTATCATGAGGTCCTTTAAAAATTTCCTTCAATGTCTTCTTGATCTTCGTATCACCCTTTACACATTATTAAAAGTTATGTAATCAACTCTCCTCCCCAGTAGTTTCACAAGCTTTTTTTTGTGCATGTTCAAATCATTGTAACTTAAATTTGGTCATCTTTTCCTCAACTGGTACTACATCAAAATCTTCTCGTACTCAATTAGAGTTTATAAGTTTGAAATCCTCAATTAGGACTTCGAAGTTTTCAACGACAAGTTGAATGAATCCTATTCAAACGAAGGAATAACTTGTATTGACTAAAGTTAGGAAAAGAAAACAAATTAGGCCTCGTCAAAGGAATGCGGATTTTGAACTTAAGATAGCACAGAGCATTGATGAACAATAACCCAATTCACTCCATGAGGAATCTGATAATGCGGAAGCATCATAGTTGTATTGGTGCCATGAAAAAGGAATTTAAGTCACTCCCAAAGACTCAACTTTTTAGCTTGTTAAGAAACTACATGATCATAAGATTATGGGTATCAAGTGAATATTTAAGAATTTCAAAACAATAGTAGGCAAAAGCTTCGCAACAAGAAAATGTATTGACTTCAACGAAGTTTGTTTCCCATGTTCTAAATTATATTTCTTATCAAAGTGTTATTGTGCTTTGTGGTTAACATGGAGTTTAAATACAACCAAAATATTTGTTCTGCGTGCAGAAACTCATGCGTGTTTACTCAATAAGTTATTGTATAGCTTAATAAGACAATTGTGTAGATATATAAATTCGTTTGAAGGAAAGATATTAATATTATTATTCTTAAAGACTAAATTTTTCACTAAAAACATTTATAAGAAAAAAAAAGAATTTATCAAAGTTAAAATTAATCTATGTATAAGTTATTTTGTAAAATATCTCTCATGAAACTTTTTAAAATTTTATTTTTAATTTGTATATAATTATTTTATATATATATATATATATATATATATTTATCTTCCGTATAAGTCTTTATCAAGAAAATTTTTATATCTTAAGTGAGTATGATAGTTATGTTTATCATAAAAAAAAAAAAGTTAATGACTCTTACATTTACTTATTGAAATTGATAATGAATTTAATACCTATACATTATTTACATAATAGACTAAATCAGAAACGACTGTTGGTATAATTTTGACTGTGAAAATTAACAAACTTCCCGTGCATAATTATTTGTGATTAAATAGTTATTTTACATTATCAGTAGTACATAATCTATTTTCCCCTTAATATAAACCGTTATAATAAAGTACTAATTTAAACTTCTGAATTATCTGTAACCACTTAGCTTGATTTCTAATGCAAATAGTTGCAAATAAATTATAGGATTTAATTTAAAAAAATAAAAGAACTCAATCCTTTAAAATAAGAGTAACGATATAAGAATTGTTGGAATGATTTTCTTCATAATTTCACTTTTTTTCTCAGAAAATATCATTCTTTTTGTCATTCTTTCAGGAAATAAAAACACGTTCTCAACGGCAAGGATGCAGCGCCTTAAAACTGAAATAGCATTCTAATTATACTACCATCTAGCAATATAACTAATCTTGAGAAAAATAAATATTTTGCATGCTGTAGCATCCGTTAGGAAATCAAAATTAAACAGTTCGGTTAATGTTAACAAAAAGGGATGGCCAATAGAATGCAGCAGCAATTGAAAATTTATTCTGGGATTCGAAAACAGGCCAAGCAAATTCTGAACGGTTCCTTAAAAGGATGTCTGATGTCCTAAACTGCACTTTTTGCTTCAAGTGAATAGTGATCGAGATCCAACATTAACTAAAACCACTGAAGCAGACTTTGTGATTCTAATCTATGTAGTCAAATGATTTTCTTTCCCCTTTTTTTCGTCACCTTCTGTACAACTTTGAAATAGTGGCGCAAACAGTTGCGTAGAAAAAGTACAATGCGGGTGGTAATAGATCCAATTGACAAGACTCCAAACATCCAAAACCACCAATCAATTGATGAAACATCAAGATGCCACTAGAGAAAAATAAGATGATTGGCACATCACTATCAAAAGTTTGGCAATCCCCACATTTCCTTTATCAGACTATCCCCCTTCTCCATAATACCTTGGCAAATGTTGATGATGGACTCAAATCGGCTATGCTACAAAGTTCCAAGACCAGCTCTTTGTTTGTGCTAACTCATCTACTCCAGGAGCTTTGGTAAAATATATGCAAAAAAAATCAGTAACCATAAAAAAAAAATAGCTCCAATGTTTCTAGGATTCCTTTTGGGTGCTTTCTTTGTTTGCGGATCGTGTTGCCTGGAACTGAATGACATACTGTTTTTGCAGCTCTCTAAGCCTTTCAAGCAGTTCGGGGAACGTTGGCCGGCATGCTGGGTCGCTGGTAAGAACAGACAAATTTATAAGTCGACAAACGTTTACTTACTCCACCACATGGCTTCAACATTAGTAAGTAAAACTAGTAAAATAAGGTAGAAAATAAATCGGATCAAGTATTTACATAAAAAAATTGAGTAGCAAACGCAACAACCCAAAGTCAACTATGCAACCGAGAATTTCTTATTCACTACAGTCCGAAAATGTAGTACGGGCTACATCAAGTAGGTTACCTAATATTGAATAAATTAAAGGGCAAATAATTCCAGTTTGATGAAACAGCAAGAAAATACGAAGATTGTTTAGGTAAGCTTGCCAACTATTGGCCCACAAGTAAAGTAACTTTATGTTCATTTAGCGTTCATGCTTGGATATTCAAGGATATGTTTAGGGGGTTGCGATAGGGGTAAAAAAGTTTAACAGAGATCAGAATGTTCACCTGTGCCAGCAGCTCTCAATTATAGATGCCCACCGTGGATCGACATTTTTGGGAATTTCAAGCCGTTGATTCATGAATCCTACAGCTCCAATCACCTGCAAGATTCCTAGAGGAACAGTTATTCATATATGCACCCACAGTGATCCATATTGCATAGTTCCATAAAAAAAATCTTTATATTTAATTGGGAAAACGTTATAATATAATAATTTCCAGTCACCAAGGTCTTTAATAACGTAGGATACGCGTAATTCAAAAATTAAATAAGTTGCGAAACCAAAGACACAATTTAAACACCCAACGTGCATCCTTTATGGTAGGTTTAGTAGTTCGCTTTCAAGTTTGAAGCACCGGAATAAAAAAACTATAAAAAAGTAAAAGCTTGACCAATGATAAAGCCACACTCTGCAATGGATTTCGATTCAATAAGCATTACTACCATTTTAAGCTTCGCATGTAATTATTTTCAAAGGTTCATGTACACATGAAAGCAATACCTGCATTGAGTTGAGATTATCCCAAGGTATCTTTTCAGTTGCAATTTCCCATAATATTACTCCAAAGCTGTAAACGTCAGATCTGATGTACCCCAGAAGCAGCAAAAACAGATATTCAAAGTCTGGAATTTGTCTAGAAACATCAGTGGAAAGAAAGAGCAATTGAGAGCACAGATAGGACATACTTCTCATCGGAGGGTTCATTACGAAGAACTTCTGGTGCCATCCATTGAGGCTACAAAACAAAATAATGCTAGAATCAGTTAGATGTTTTGACATTCTTTAGCCTTGAAATGTAAAGAAGGGGACAATTGCAAACATATAAAAAATATGTAGCCCACTAAAAAGGAGCGTACCGTGCCCCTTCCGGTCTTGGTTGTGAGATATGTTTCATGCTTAATTCGTGAAAGACCAAAATCACCAACCTGTTCAGTTAAAAAGTCATTGACATATTGTCTAGCTTAAAAGAGACAGTGCTTGAACCTCTAAGCAATCAAGGACAAGCTTCCAAACAAACATTATAGGATAAATAGAAACTGAAATGCGGCAGACCTTCACAGTCCAGTTCCTATCAACTAGAAGATTTGAAGATTTCAAATCTCTGTGGATGATAGGTGGGTTAGAATGATGAAGATAATTTATGCCCCGTGCCTGTAGAAAGAATGTTGTAAGCATACAACAAGCTTCAAACAATGTGAGAGATGCTTGCTAAGATACTAATGGAATTTATGTCAAATAGCAAAATCAAAATACTTTATGCTCCAGGAACAGAAATCCGAAATAAATTAACAATACCAAAAAGAAAGGGGAAAAATGTGAATGATCCACTATATACCAAATAAACATCATAACAATCATATATCTTATTTAGAAACAAAATGGATAAACACCATTTCGATCTATAATTCTATTACTGAATACGCACAATATCCAAGGCCATATGAACTCGCCGTCTCCAGTCAAGTTTAGATGTGTTTCTGTGTAACAAGCGGCACAAGCTTCCACTGAAGTCATAAAATACAAATGGAAACATCAATGATTAACCCAGCATCGTAAACTACAATCATATGCTCTTGACAAAAATGAGTTAAAACCAAAATTTCAGAACAAACCGTGGGAGAAACTCTGTCACGATGCAGAGACGTTGAGGTGAAGTCACCGCCCCCATAAAGAGAAGAATATTTGGATGTCGCAGCCTTTTCATGACAGACACCTTCATACGACAAAATGTTGTCAAATCAATGTATGAAAAAATAAATTGTAGGCACTCGGGAGGTTTAGACAAAAAAGGTGATCCATACGGTAAAATAATAAGGTGGCAGAACAAGGTACGGTTCCAATTAGCTAAATTCTAGAGAGCACATTAAATCAAATCCCCAGTTGTCCTGATAGCTACAACACTCAATAACTAATAGTTTCTGCACCGATCCAAAAATTTTGCCAATTATTTTAAACATATTATAGGAAATTGTCAATCTTGGAAATATAATGCAATCTAGGATGTAGGTAGAGAGCCCAAAGCCTTACAAACCCCACACTCTAGAAACCCTTGTGCTCATACGGGCTCTCTGTACACACTAGCCCTTTGACTAGCCTAAGCGAATGCTGCAATGGCATTCTCACCACCCGCTGCTTGTTTGTAACTTCGAGACATGGTCGTGGAAAACTCTAATACCAATTGATAAGAATCATGGAAGAACTAGACCACGAAAGCTAGCCATTGTAGTTGGAGCCAAAGGATGCATAAATCCCACACTAGAATTCCATACTTTCAGTATAGGTACTCAAGTCTCATACTGTACAATTGAATTTCAAATTTCTAACATGGGGCACAACCTCTCACCTCCTAAACTTTTTTATTATCAAAGAAGAGATTAAGATAATCAGACTCAACTTTACTCAACCATTCATGCTACAAAAATCATACATATAAACACTGATCTCTTTCATAAGCTTAGCAAAGTCAAAATAATGCCTATTGATCCTTTTATAAAAAATAACCTAAAGTAATTAAGAAATCCAACACATGGACCCATGATGCCCAACTTGCATGCGGATTGGTGTGTCTCATAAAATCAATAAATAGTATCAAATAAATGAAAGCATCAAGTATGACATTTCCCTCCCAATCGAGCAATAACTGAGCAAACATCATAGTAAGGAAAACTATTATTTTTTAGTCAATTTTTCTCTCCGAATCACATTAGCAACAAAAAGTTGTTTTCTAAGCATACCTCTTGTCTGAAGGACAGTATCACATCATCTGAATATTCTTGCTTCGAGAAAACTTTGACGGCAACATCCTGCAAAAACCCAAATATAACTTGACATCAAAATCGCAGTCAAAAAAAAAAAAAAAAGGTAGCTTGTCAACCTATAAAAGACACATTCTAACATGTCTGGCTTAGAGTTGTCATCCTCATTTCACAGGCCAACCAGCAATCCTACGATGCCTTGACTCAAGAATATTGAATTAGCACAATAAAGGACCTCGGTATACTAAATGCTAGTAATTTCCAATTACAAAAATATGTAAACTTACACCCCAAAAATGCAAGGAAAAGAATACATCAAAGAGTTCTAAGTTAGAGTAAATTGCTTGGAAAATGTCCTTTGAAATGCATAAATTAAAATCAGAAATTACAGCAAGAGAAAAGAACATACTGATCCATACCACAGAGCATGATATACAGTTCCACAAGAACCTGCAATTTGGAAAAGAAACAGAGAGTGAATAGAAAACAAGTCACAGGTAAAGCATAAAATGGATAATAACCACTGTTAACTTGATATTTGGGTTTGCAAGCATTGGCTTAATAAATTATAAAAGCTCTAGAAAGAAAAGAACAGCATTTCAAACAAAAAAAATATGTTTTCAAAAAATTATGTTCTCAGGTGTGCCTCTTTAGTTAAAAATGTGACTACCTTGCCCAATTTGTTCTCCAATTGTCAGGTCCTCCCACAAAATTTCATAATCCAAGCAATCAGTGTCCACATCCACTTTATTATTGACAGCACAACTGCCAGCACTCCCACAGCTGCTGGCACTACTTGTGCTGTTAACATTAAAGGAGGACCAGGATCCTGAAGCTTCATTATTATTAGGGCGATTACTTTCCCCACCCGTGCTTTCTTGCTTCAAGCCAGAAGAAAGAATCTTCAGATTAACTGATTCATTTTCTTGATCATTCTGTCTCCAGGGCCCACTGACACGAACATTCCTTTCCTCTGATACTTCTGGACCTTCTCGATCCCTTGTTCTCCATGGCCATGATAATGTTTTCCTTTGAATCCAGGCTTCAGCCTTAGCAGGTATGATTTTGTGAATTGATTTTACTTCATTCTCATTACCAGACTCTTTCGAAGATTTTCCCTGGGTTTTTTCTTCACCATGAGTAAACACACCAAAATGGGATGGTGGCACATCACCTCTGGGGGTGCTAGCTCCACTGGAATTAGCATCCTCTCTCTGGTCCGAAAGAACTGATTCCGACAAACTATGCTCAGAATGATGACTTTCACCGCTCCCACCTTCACGATCCACATTATTTTCTCCCGTCCAGATCCTTGACTTTACTTTGTTACTCACCTTTGATGCCTGTTTAATGATTAAATATGTCAAGAGTTAAGACACACCACGGTATAATAAAATTACAGAAGCAAGAAAGTTACGTCACAAACCAAATTTGAAATTTTCGAAGCAAGAGCAACTTGAAGTGGCTGTTGAGTGTCAATGCCAAGTTTATTCGAAATGCTACTTTTAGATCGAGTTCCACCCGAGTCCAAATCTGACTCAGTGTTCCTTACACCAGACATTGGAACTTTCATTTCAAGAAAGGGCCGTGAATCACTTGAGACACAAATTATCCCAACTAAGCTTCCATCATCATCATAGAAAGGTGTATTAGTCGCTACAGCTAAGAACTTCTCTCCCATCTTATTCTTGACCGGAAATTGCCCTGTCCAGTTCTCTCCCATCATCACACGGTTCACTGTATCATTGGCCAAGCCCAAATCCCTAGGGTCTACAAGCAGCTCAATTCCATCCCGCCCTAGAGCTTCCTCTGCTGTATAACCATACAGATTTTCCGCACTACGGTTCCTGCAAAATTTTCCCAAATCACTTTTTTTTTTCTCAAAACAAGCTTTTAATACAGGTTCCCTGAATGCGCGCAATCAGAACCATACAACATTACATACTCAACAGTCAACAATACACCAAAAAACTTCAAACACAGTCAGCACATCCATTTTCCAGCAAAGGACTAATCATAAGTTTGGAGAAACTTTTCCATAAATATTTATTGGAAGATAATTCTCTCCACAAGTATTTATAGTAAGAAGCTTTTCCCTAAGTATTCACAGAAAAAGAAAATCACCCGACTTTCTCTCGTGCACTGAAATTAACTCATGCGACTCACTTTGAAAAAGTTAAATGACAAAGTTGCTATAAAAGTCAATACATTCATATATTCCACATCTTTATTAACTATCTCCATTACAGAATAGAAATATTACACAGAATTTAGCAACAAAACAAATAAAGAAACGCGATGCGCTTTGAGACAAATGACTGACCAGTATCTTATGCGACAGTTAAGATCCAATACATGAACAGACTGTCCCATTGACTGCAAAATATTAAGATACTGCCGTTCCGTGAAATTCACGGCGGAAGGACTGCAACGCGGAGTAGCACCTTCTCCTACTCCTCCTACTCCTAACCCTCCTCCGCCACCGCTGCCGTGAATTTGAGGATCGCCGCCGCCACGGCTCTCTCTCTGCAGCGGCGAGGATTGTTTAAAGGAACACGAACCTCTCTTCCACGCAGCCGCTGGTGCATCGCTCCGCCTCCTCGGCGGAGCGCCCAATCTGGAACGCTGCGGAGAGACGGAGTGCGACCTCTGGCGATGGCCGTGTCTCACATCGGAGAGCTTGAGCTTTGACATTTCTTGCTTCAGGTGCTCTTGTCCTTCCTCTAACTGTTGGATCTTCTTCACGAGTTCATCCGTTGGTGGAGTTCCCATTGCAACAACAATCGCAATCACAATCACAATCACAATCAATAACACACGCTACTCCTATCGTCCTCTTCAGATATTTGTATCTATCCACTAACAACAACTACAACATCATTCATCTTCCCTCTCTAGAAGCTACCAACACAGATACCTCATAAATAAATTTATTAGACAAAAAGATTGCAATAAAATTTCAATTCAAGTTCAAAGTCTTATCTCTCACTCTCTCTTCAACAGAGTCAATAAGGCATCAAAACAAAACACCAACCTCTTCCTCTCTCTATCTCTATTATCTTTTATCTCTATTCTTCACCCTTACTTTTTTTTTCCCCCTTTTTTCTGCACCTTGCTTTTGCTTACTCTTACTTCAACTCTTCTCTTTCCACCCTCTATCTCATCGTTAATATCTGAATCCAGCTATTTAGACCAAAAGAAAAGTTATTCATTATTATTATTATTACATCATAAAAGTGAACCAAACAAACACCACGCGTGAGCTCATGCGTGTATGGAACAGCCCGTTCTCCATTGGAGTTCTTAATGTTGGGTCAATCCTTGATGCGCGTGTGCGAACTCTCTCCTCTGGGCCTGTGCTTTATGCTCCTAACGTACTCTGTCTTTTTGGTTTAAAAACTTGTGAGTAGCTTCGTTGGTATTGGTTCATTCCCCAACCAGCCCTTTTTTTCTTTTTTTTTTATTCCATAGAGAATTGCTATTTTTTCTCTTCAGGAGGACTCCACTTGTTTTAGTTTGGTTCAGACAAAATACTGGACAAATATTTTTACCTGTTTCTTTTTTTGTTCCTTGTTTGCAAAAATTTGTGATAACTCATCATAAAGTAGAACGAAATGAAACCTCAAATGAGCAAGGAACAAGATATTTTTTCTTTAAACACTTGGGTATGTTCATTGAACTGACACATTATAATTGAATCTGTTCCCTCAGTTTCCATAGAAAAAAAATGAGTTTAATATTTTTTAATTTATTGAATATAATTTTATAAGTGTAGGTATAGTTACACCCTGCACATTATGATGAGATAAAATAAATTTTTAAAAAAGACAACATTATATTTTTTTTTAGGTCAAAACACTATTTTATAATATAAACATGGTCAAAATACGTTTTTTATATAATTTATTCCATTCTCTTCTAGTTGTACAGGAGAATAAAAGCGGGAATGTGTTGAGATGATAAAGATTTAGAGCCGTCATTGAAGTAATATCAAAAGGACAGACGTGTTGAAAAGGAAATCAGGGCTTTGTTGCATTAAACTGTCTAAATCGAATACAGTTTTGGTTTACATTTTATTAGGTAGGCAAATCAAACTATCCAGGAAAATTTATTCTATTAGAGAGAAAATTTCTACATCTACTTTCCTAAAATCTAGAGAGAAAACTAACTTTTTTTTCAAATGATGGAACCACTTTTTTTTTAGTTTACCACTTTATTTAAGTACTCATTGAATGGTTTATTGTAACTTTTGTTAGAGTAATTTTATTTTTTTATTTAAATTAGTTATTAAGTTATTTTTATTATTTTTCAAGATTATACAAAAATATATTAAATTTATTTTGTGTTAGTTAATTATGAATAATGTTTGATATTTTATCATATTTTTATTTATATATAAATAAATGTATATGAATAAAATAAGAGATGAAGACATGACGATATGATATATTTCAAATGTCATAAATATATATACATCAAACTTTATAAATTCTTATTAGTGGTATTAAGAGTTTTGTTTATCACAAAAAAGAAGGAAAGATAATTTTTTCACAATTCGTTATTTCAATTTTTGATAGCAAAAGTTATGATTTATGTGTTGTGAGAATATAATCTTATATTGAATTATTGGATTTATGAGAAGTTATGGAAGATGATTATCTTGTTGATTCACTCGCTTGAAAATCTCATCATAACTCAAATTAAATTAAAAAAAATAAAATAAAGAAGACAAAAATTAAATCATGTCTGTTTGCTAGAGTTTCACAAATTATTCTCACCAGAATCATCCATGATGCTAAAGTCACCAAAAGAAATTTATAATTATTTAAAAAACTAATATGAAGGGGATGAAAAAAATTTGAAGTATGAAAGATCTAAACTTAATAAGGGAATTCGAGATATAAAGAATGCATGAGTATAAGATAATTAATTAATACTCAAGTAAATTGTTCGGTATTGGTAACAAGATAAAACTTTTAGGTAAACAAATTTCTTATTCTAAAATAATTGAGAAAATTCTGGTAATTGTGTCAAAGATATGAAACATTTATTATTTCATTGGAAAATACAAAGGATTTATCTAATATTATTTTAGAATAAGTGTTACATGTTTTACAAGTACAAGAACAATGAAAATTAATAAAAGAAGATCATATTGTTATTAAAGTGTTATTTACTATATCATGTTGACAATTCTCTCAAAGTCAAGAACAACAAAAGTAACAAATCACATGTCTTATCTATTTGTTCTTTTTGTAAAAAAAAAAAAAAAACAATCACTCACACAAAAAGTGTTGGTGGAGATCTAATGTTAAATATCTCAAATGTGGTTAATTATGACATATATAAATTATAAACAAAAGAAGTTGTAAAGGTTATAGAGGATGGAAGAGAAATGAAACTTTTCTCATGCTCTATAATCGATAAATCCGCATGTTGACTTACAAATAGTGGTTGTACAAGTAACATAACTCATAATCGAAAACTTTTCAAAGAGCTCAAACAAACACTTATTTTTAAAGTGAAAATTGACAATGAAAAATAAATGAATGTGAAATATACGAAAATAATTATAAATCATTTTGGTGTCAAATTAATTGTTATTTTATATGTTTATGATATTAATCAAAATTCGTTAAGTGTTACTCAATTATTAGAAAAAAGTTATAAAATATCTTTTAAACACAAATTTTGTGATTAAATATTCAAATAACTTTGAAATATACTAAGTTGACATGAAAAGAAAATTGTTTACTTTAAATTTGATAAAAGAGAAGTTAATTACAAATAATGATATAAAAAAAGGTAAAAGAAAAAAATATAATGAATATTTATTGAAAAAGCTTGATGATAAGAAGGAACATAAACACGTAGAGGAACAACCAACTTCCAAAATTCACTTATTTCGTAATTAAAGATTAAATACGATGGTTTTAAATTTTTAAAATTTATACCATTTAATTTAGATGATGAAAACATTTATATTGATCAAAATTTTCTTTTTTAGGAAATAAAAAACATATTTAAACTTTTATTGATTATAAAAAAATATTAAACTTTTAAATACATCCCTTGTACTAATATAAATATTAGTATTCTTATACTTTGAATAATTTTGAGCTAGTTGTTAAATTTAATTATTAAATAATAAATATATTTGAAAGGAATAAGATTAAATTAACTGCTCAAAATATTAATTATAAAATCTAAAAAAAAATCAATCTGAAACCCTAACCTCGTTTCCTATTTTTAAATAATTATAAATATTTAAATGTATATATATTATGCAATTTTATTAATATTTTATACTGTAAAATAATTACGCCAAATGAAAATCCTGTAAGATTTTCCCTCTTCTTGATATTGTCTGGTTCAATTATTAAGGGTTGTTTCGTTGACATCAATGAGTGTACGCACACAATTTTAGGAGGCGTGAAAGATACAATGAATGGAATAGAATCCGGTTGTCCTATCCACATTTAGGAATAGATACTCGTCCAAGAGGGGGAATTAAAAAACTATCATTATAAATTTAGCAAGTGTAAATTGTAATACTATAATAATATAAATTTGTTATAAAAACAGAAAACATAAAAGTGAAAGATATCATTTGACCAATCAGAAAGAAAAATACAGAAAACAAAAAATGAGAGAGGCGAAATTAATATATTTAGAGTTGCACTTCACACATGCTTTGAAAGTTTGCATTGGCCTGAAACAGAAAATAAAAAAGCGCTATATTATGATAATGGTAATTTCATTGCAAATCAGAGAAATTACATAGGCATTAGAAGAATAAATTATAAATCTCATTTATATAATTAAAAAAATTAAGATTAAAACTAATTAAAATAATCTTGACTTTTTAAGTTTCTTACATTTTAAATTCGAATGCCCAAGCTTTTGAAAAATAAACTCTGCCTATTTATTTTCTTCAGCTACATTAATTCTACCAAACATAAATAAACAGAGAGCACCTTTACAGGTCTACTAGAAATGTTGTTAATTTATCAGATTTTTTGCCAAAATAGCAGAAGGATGCACTAATGCGCTCGAACTTGATGACCATGTTCTTTAAAAAAACCATCGTTGAATAGAGACCACCTTCATCAAGTGCAAGAAGAAAAATTTTAAATTTATCTAATTATTTCTTAAATGCATTTCTGATACAACTTACAAACGGCTGGATACCAGTATATCCCATGCCCTAGTCTAACAACTGAAAAAACCAAATCATTCCAGTGTGATGCATGATTTCCCAAAAGATAGCTGATTTGAAGGATGGCAAGTTCTTCCAGCAATACAAAGCCCCTCATTTTGTGTACAAAACATCTTCCCATGGGTGGCGGTAGAGTGGCTGTTTCAATCTCTTTTGGTCAAAGGTATGCCTGAAAATATTAATTAGTGAACGATGAATTAGTTTACGTCCTGAATAATGTGTCTGTATTTTTCCGCAACCCATCTAATCACTTTAGAGATGTCAAAATCCAATGAATTTACGAGTTTTTGACACTGGGAAAGGTTGTAATTCAGTGTATACACCCAAAAGTAATATCCGTTATCTACTAAAAAAACGCTCTTCCTGACAAATATATATAACCAAAATGAAACTCACCCGATCAGTCCAATGGAGCGTGCCAAAACAAAAAGCCCATTCAGATAACCAATCCCCACAATTTCATCAACCTCTTGGTTGGTGAACATTCCACTACCAGCTAGAAGATCCAAGAAAAGTGACCCGATTGCACCATCTACGTTTAGAACTAGGTTATTTGCCTTCGTAAGGGTGTAGTTTTCAACTTCAACAGCATACTCCATGTATTTCACAGATGGAAAATGCGTGCGTGCAAACTTTTGTAGCAGCTCGACTCTCTTATCTTTGTTATCCCTATTCTTGATTCTAATTTACAGAACAAAATCAAGATTTGAACATTTAGATTTTCAGAGAAACAAACAAAAACCAAATAGTAAATGAACACACAAAGTGTACACACTACCTGTGCCCTATTCCAGGAACACGGATGCCCTTCTTCTTCATACTTTCAACAAATTCATAAGGTGTAAGATTCTGTATCAAGAAAAAGCGTTGTACTGCATGTTAAAACTGTAGTTGAGTGGCTAGCTTCACAGGAAAAGCCTAGTAATCATACCCTGTCATAAGCATCCTTGAAATAGCGAGCAGCATCATCAATGGCACCCCCAAATCGAGGACCAATTGTTAGCAAACCTGTTTCATAATGTTAGGAACCAAAAATGCAAAATGAAAAATATGAGAGACCATTTAATGGAAATGTTAGCGCACAGACAGCATCACTCAGATAACAGGCACACTGCAGCAGTAGAAAGACTAGAGGCCGGTATTTACCTGATACAAGACAAGAGACAAGGTCCTTCCCAGCCCTTGCTGTTACTATAGCATTGTGAGCACCGGAGACACAGGGACCATGGTCGGCACAAAGCATGACACATATCTGATAATCACCAATGTGCATCAGAAAAATATAAGCTAGAAGATGTTATTAATATTTTATTAAAATCAAACAGCACAATGATGTTCTTAAGAAAATTGAGCATAGACAGTTTCACATGCTTAAGATAGACATAAAAGAAAGGGGGAAAAGAAAGGATTTAAGAAAAGCTCTGCAGACTGGAGTATGAATACTATACCTCAATAAATTGAGTACAGTAACGGGGAAGGCTGCGTTTGAACCACAAAAGAGAGATTACATCCCCCACACCATAACCATTTTCAATAATGGTAGACATTGGTACACCAGCATAGCAGGGCTCCTCACCTATGGAAAATAATGGAAGAGTAGTTTAATTCGCTATCAACTATGTCTAGGACACCTCATTTCCATGTTACAACTAACAAACTTGATGAATACCAACATACCTCTGTCATCGGAGATGGTGGAAATGATATGAGTTGGTGCACGTACTTTTCCACTCCTAATCGCAGTGTTAAGGTCCTCGGGGATTGGTGGAGGAGTAAACTCTTTAATAGGTGTGACAACCGCTTTTTCAACCTAGCAAAAGAAAAAACAACGATATTCAAGCTAATCTAGGAAACTGAAGAAAGTTCTTTAAAACATTGCTCCTTTTGGGAGATGGAAAGACGGTAAAAGTATCAGTTAGAGAGATGAAAATTGAAAATTTTCAGGATAAACCAACCAATTTGTCAAATGTTCCCTTTATTGCAGCTTCTAAAGCTTCATATGAGGTGGGAACAACAGCTCCGGCTTCCCTTAGTGCCTGATTCTTTGCTTGCGCAGACTCCATCTCACCACCACTTTTTGCTCCCTAATTAGTACAAGTGCCAATGACCATCAGGAATTCGCCCCACTTATTATAAATTCTATAACTGAGAATTAGTCGAAAATAATCAGCCAGTGACATACAGCATGACCAAATTGTACTTCAGATTTGAAGAGACGTGCACAGGTCCCGCTAACCCAGGCAACAACTGGTTTTGTCACTTTCCCTAGTTTTAGGGCTTCCACTAGAGAATACTCATCGCACCCACCAAGTTCCCCAAGTACTACTATCATTTTAACCTGAGGTTTGATGTAAATACAGACCGATCATTCAGAAGAAAATTATAGGCTCCAAATTCTTCACTATTCTTATTAGTTGCAGATATTATATACTCTAATCAAGATGAAAGTAGAATTTTACCTGTCGTATGTTGTTAAACCGCAAAACATGGTCAGAAAGTGTGGAACCTGGGAAAACATCTCCGCCAATGGCAATGCCTGTAGCAAAACAGGAGATTAAAATATAATTTCAAACTATCATTAAGAAATACAGAAACATACACCCTGGCAGTACCTTCATAAATTCCATCTGTTACACGGGAAATAGTGTTGTATAATTCATTGGACATCCCACCCTGCAATTCGATAGTTTTTTCTTCTCTCAAAACCATTGGTGTATACATAAGACCGCGCCAAAATAATAAAGCTCAAATGCCAAATTTCTTTGGGACTATAAGCCACTGTTTGGTAATCAAACATTGGATAAAAAGTAATTTCACTTGCAAAATGTAAGCACATCATCTTAGCTGTACTAGCTGGTGTCACTACTTACCAACAGAAAAGGGGGTGGGGTGGGGGAATGGTGGCTAGTAACGTTACAGAATCCTATCACACAAGTTTACTAATACAAATTTTTCACTGTGAAGCCGAGCTGCACTTCGATATTAAATTGATACATCACTCCATAACGACAATTTCCATTTTGAAATCAACGAGATTAAGCGCTCACCAATATATTAACAGGCAAGAATCTCTCATTCTTTCGGAGTAGTACTAGATAAAAAGATCGTATCCTTAACAAGAGAAAAGTGAGGTGGAACGACAATATGACATAAGCAGGATAGTGAATAACTACATACAGATTTGGAAACAAATCCAACAGATCCAGGCCTGTAGAGCTTGCACTGAATTATGTTGTCTATTGTTCCAGCAGTGTCACCTATCTTAAAAGCACCAGCTTGAATTCCTCCGACAGTGGCTGGACCAATAACAACCTAGCACAACATCACCACTAAAATTAGTATTTCCAGCTTATTCTTTTTAGCTATAAAGTTTATTTATTTAACTTGAATTTCTATTTCTTCTCTCACCTTGTTGTTTGCCCGAGCATACGCTATCAATTGCTTAGTGTCTGACTCAGGTACACCTTCAGCAATAATAGCAATAACTCTAATTGTCGGCTGCTTCAAAGCAGCCATTGATGATGCAGCCGCACTGCAAGTATATCAAACTATTCTCATGATACCATGCAATAAGTTACTCCTGGACTCAAAGAATAACCATGATCATAGAAATGCCAACCTTCTAAATGATGCAAAATTGATGAACACATCAGCAGTAGGGTGTGCAGCACAAGCCGCTTCAATGCTGAAAAAGAAGTCACATGTAGCTAAGAACAAAAAACTTGGACAAACAATAATTTCCTTTCATTTACTTCGTATTTCAGCAGCATGAGCAGGGAGACAACGAAAATGAAGGGAGGCAGAAAAACACTCTTAACTATTTGGTTCACCAAGTACAAATTTAAAGCAGGAAAGAGACAATTTGCAAATCATGAAGCACACGTACTCAGCATGAACTGGGATGGCAATTTCCTCCTGACCAAAAAAGAGCTTCTGAAATCCCTCGGAACCTGGATTAATTATTCCAGCAACTGATGGTGTTTCTCTACCTGCGTTTAAATTCCATTAACAATAAAAAAGACATTAATGTAATGCTATAATTAGTTACTGTCAGTCTCCAATTATAATAAGAATTTAAACTATAAAATTGATGATACGCACCACAAAGAAAGTCAAAGTCGAGCATCCGCTGGATGGGAAGTTGCTTGTAGTTGTAAAACAAAGCTTGCGTAGTACGCGAGAATAGTTGTCCAGTGGCCATGACAAAGAAACAGATAGATCTGATAACATATACTAATGCATTACTTTCTATGTTGCCGTAGAAACTAAATACAGTGTAAGGCAATATTTGACACCATACCGAAAGGTATTTAGAATTCTCTCCTAATCACTTATAGATACCTAAATCTCTCCAGGATTCAGTATCTATCAACTATTTCAATTTTAAAGCGGCGAGACAAGGATAAATTCTTTAATATACATCAATTAAAAAATAACCACAACACTCTAATAACTTATTGCCACATTAGCCTTTCAAGATCACAAGACTGATTAACAAAACATAGATGAACCAGATTCACAATGAGCAAAAATTCATGTGGCATGCATGTATTAAGTTATCACAGACACGCCGTAGAAGAAAGAGAGCAGACAAACCAGAATGTAAAACCTCTGAAACTTGAAAAGTACGAAAAAAAAAAAAACCACTCAGCGAAGGCACTTAAAGAAGAAAAAACAACTCGCTCCTAACTCTAATATAACCACAGGAATGGAAATGCAAAAGTACATCATTAAATTCCTTACTTCACAAAACGGAAAAAAAATTAAGGAAGAAGCAAATTTGTCAAAGAAGTGAGTAAATGGGACCGAAAACCTAACCAAGCCTTAAACCACCACCAAACAGCTACCCTGACAGGACATGGACGGGTCACTAGGCATTAAGTTCGATACATACAAATTTCACCGATTGTAATTACTGTAACTTGTCAGATTCGAAATTTCAATTCCACATTAATTACATAATTTAAAGAGTTGATACCGTGAATGTGCATGGTGTAGGTTTTGGAATTGGAAAAAGAAACAACTAATAGAGAAACAATACTAAGGCAAATCAGGGAACAGCGAAGAGAAAAATGGTGAGATTGGTGAAGTGAGAATGGAAGGGACTGGACTGCGAGTGCAAGGAGATCTCAGATTGGAAGACACACCTGAAATGGAGTGAGTGCGAAGGAGGAAAATGGTTAAGAGAGGGGTTAAGTTTTAAGTTTTAGATGTAATGTAATGAAATGAAAGAATGATGGAGAGTGGTGACGTGTGAAGGGTAGTTAGTGCATGAGTCACGATTATTATGAGTAGTTTAAATCCCATCCACACATATACATTCTCATTGTTCAATGTCCATTACTCTCTCTCACTGTGTCATGCGAAACAGAAGGTGGGGGTGAGCACTGGCAGTAGCAGTAACATACTTGGTCTTTGTAGAAGGAGGCCTGGTTCTTTCCACCTAAATTTTATTATTAGTATTGTAGTGTAAAACAAAACTTACACAATTTTTTATTAAGAAAATATCATAAGAGGTTGCGTTTCCATTTTCTTATTAAAATTTTTATGTGACAAAATTATTAGTAATTTACTATTTTTATATATTGATTAAGAATATATATATATATATATATATATATATATATAATTAAACCTCACTTCCTCAATAGTTATATTATATTAAATAATTTCTGTAATAATAAATTAGAAAAATTATTGATAGTAAATTATAATAATATAATAAATATAAATTATTTTTATGACAAATTAAAATTAAAAGTAACTAAAAAGTATGGATATCTTTCTATTTTTTTAATAGATCAACTTTTCAAAATGCATACATATAAATAAGTTACCTCTTAAGTTGAATTTTGCTATTAAAATGAACATATTAAAAGGTGAAGATTATCCGATAACATTATATATAAATTTAATGTGATGAATACTTTAAATTGCATAATGGATAGAGATGTTGTTTTGGCGTACTCTAATAATCTTAATTATGATACTAGTTGATAAAAATATTATTAAACAGAAAGTTATTAAATAATATAATAATTTTAAATATGTATTGATATAAATTAAATTATATAATTGTATATCAACTACTATATTATTTAATAACTGCTAATTTAATGAAATTTTTTTATATTCATAACCAGTTGAAGATCCATTCTACAGATAATTTTGTAAAATATATTTTATTTCAAAATTACTTAAAGACTCTCTCTCTATATATATAATATGTTATTTAAAATATATAATAGAAATATTTTATTATTGTTTTTTATTTTTTTATAAATTAAAAAATGCATAATTGAAGTAACATATAGTTTTAATTCAAATTATTAAAATTATATTTTATATATAATTATTAGTTTTATAAATTATTTCATTTGATTTCATTCCTATTATTATTGCTGTTACTATTACTATTATAATAATAATAATAATAATTATTATTATATTTTAAAAATTATTATTCTTATACACACTCTAATTCTGTCACTTCTTTTTAATGTGAAGAGATGTATTTTCAAGTATTCACATTCTCATTGTCTAAACTTTAGGATAGTCTCGTCAAACAATATTTTCTTTACAGCGTCTAATTAATTAAATAATATAAACATAGATGACTACGTTATCAATAAATTATGTACGCAATTGTAAAAACATGTTCAAAACATAAAAATATTATATATATTATCATCCAAAATGAAGGAAATATTCTTCTTCTAACAATTAGTTGCGAGCAATAATAATTTAAAAGTATACATGTTTATACAGAGAATTTAATCAAAATATACTGCAGAATATACTATCATCCAATTAGAAGTGTATTATTTGAATAATCGTTACAAAATATAATAAAAAATTCCAATTATATCATAATTAAAAAGATAGTTTAATTAAAAATTTAACTTTAATTTTTTATGCTGATAAATCTGATATCCGAACCTAAAAAAGTTGGAGCTCTAAGAAAATAAAAATAACTTGATGGGAATTGGGGAAAATATCATATCTGGTAGTTATTCAAATGTTTCAACTTTTTTTTTTTTTTAATTTCCAATTTTAATTTATATAAGTCTTTTTGGTGTGGGAAAATTTTAAGCATTCAAATATTAAAGTCAAAGAAGAAATTCAATTTCCATGAAAAAAAAAAAACGAAGGAAAAAGAATTAACAGAATACTCCAGAACTTTTATATTATTGTTTAAGATGTAATGATACATCCCTGTTAAGTCAAAAGATTCATTGTATGAACATGTAACTCAGTCCAGTTGGAAATGTTTTGGGAGAAGAAAAGAAATCCTTAGAAATATAACAGGAGTTTTGTTAATAATGCTGAAGAGTTACATTGAGTTTAAGAGTGGCCCTAAGAGTAGCTATGTCCATAAACTCCGTCTCCATAACCCCGTACCCTTTCACAAACCTGAAATAACCAGTGCCAGACACAATCCCAAATTCTCGTTCCTTCATCGTAAAGATATCAGATCCCTGAATCTCCAAGCTGCTACCTTTGAATTCTCCATTGGTAAAGATCACTGAGAAAACCATGTACAAGCCTTTTCCATCAAGCTGCGAATTTACATATATACCCTGGGCCCTACCGATGAGTGCTGAATCTATACTGGATCCTTCTGTAACTGGGTCATCCACGATTGCCACTGTGCCAAATTGCAGGATGTTGGAGGCGGCTCCGGTCTTTCCGGCCACCGTGGCCGCCGTGGAGTGGTCGCCAGTGAAGTGGTCATGGACATAGAATACGAGGCTGGTTTGCTTTGGTTGAAAGGTGGGGAAGGTGTAGACTGCATAGAGGATGGTCAAGGTGAAGATGAAGAAGAGATTGCTCATTATCCTAGTTCTGTCTCTTGTCCCCTGTTTGGTTTTCTACCTGGGATTAATTTGATACGATGCTTGAGTGCTGATTAATCAAGACTGGTTAGATAATTAATTTAATTGTGGTGGTTGCAGATGCTTCTCTATTTATTAGTTGAGATTCCAATTGCATAGTGACAAAGCCTGCTACCACTTACACTGTCAGTGTCTTTTTGTGCTTTTAATTTGGATTTCATGCATATATTGTGGTAAGAAAAATATTTTTTTCAATGAGACCAAGTAAACTTTTTCTTATTAATTTTCTTTGTTTTGTCTTAAAAGTTGTTATCAAACAAGATATTAAAATGTATTTTTACTGCTATTTATCATTTATAATAAATTTATATTAATTACAGAGATGGGAGAAGTTGTTTAGTTCAGAGTTATGTTAAAAAATTTATACCCTCATTCTGATTTACTTTAATTATTCTAAGAAAATTGTGATTTTTTACCATTGGTATATAATTAATAGACTATCATAAATACTATATTTTAAAAAATCAATTGAATAAATTTATTTATTTAATTAAATTTTGATACATAAATGAAATAAATAAATTTGTTTTACATAATATACTTTTTTTTTCTTTTTTTTATTACATTTACTTCTTTTCTTTTTTTTTCCTCTTTATTTAGTTTTTGTATTTTTTTTATCTTCTTATCTTCTTCTTTTTTTCATTTTATTCTTATATTAAAAATAATAAATTAAAATTTAATAAAGTAAGTCTTTTATTATTTTTAAAAATAAAAATATTATAATTTTAAATTAATTATTTTTGTGTAAATAAAATTATTTACAATCATAATAAATAAAGTTATCTATTGTCATCATATTTTAAATAATTAGTTTATATTTTTTTATTTTAATATTGATTTTAAAATATTTGTTTTAATATATTTTTATTAAAATTTAATATAAAAATTTATTTAAAAGAATAAATGAAAAAAAGGAAAGATAAAACTAAAAGACATGAAATAAAAAAAAATTAAGAGTAAATGAGAAAAGAAAAAAATAAAATATTATAAAGAGAAAAAAAACCTATAAATAATAAATAAGACTACTTAAATAATTAAATTAATAAAGATTATATTTAAGTAATTTTTTTAAAATATATTATTTATAAAAATGAATTTCAGTACGAGTAATCAAAACAATGAAAAAGAAAAAATATATACATGATTGAAACACTTTGCATAAACTGCCACTATAAACCCTTTTTCTCAAGTCAATAGTGGCCAATATAAATTATTGAAAGTGTCACTACACATATATAATAAAAATGAAAATTTATTTAATAATGTAATATTTTTTATTAAATAATTTTATGTCATTCTCTCGAGTACTAAATTATATTAGATTATTGTACATTTTATGTTCAAAATAAAAGAATATATATATATATATATATATATATATATATATATATATTGAAAATAATAGTCAATCAACTTAAATTTAAGGTTTAAAATAAAAAATTAAAACAAAAATCATTAAACATATATAATGTGTGAATATCCATTAAAAAATATTTATTACTTTTCTTTTATATCTCTTCCTATTATATTTGAAAAAACAAATATTTTCACATATGTGATACTTAGTATTACAAGTATTTATGTATCATTTTTATTAAAAAAGGTTAAATTATTCATAATTAATTTTAAAAAATATTTTTAGATAATCCCTTTTCATTCATACATTTAATTAACAATTCAATTTAAGATTATAATAATAAATAAAATTTTAAATTTTTATATTTATTATTAATAACATTATTATATTATATTATATATGGATTATTTGAACAAAGTGTGGGTCTCAAATTCTCATTTCTTCTTAAAAAGCACTTATATATTTCCTTACTCGCCTCATCCTTCACATTTTAGAGACTTAATTATTCCAACTTGGATTAAGAGAGAAATTTCACCAAAAAAAAAAATTTAAATTTCACCAAAAAAAAAAATCATTCATGAACATGTATATCCCATATAGCTAAGGAAATTATAATATGCAGATGCCTTATATCATATCTAAATGTCACGTACATTGACATATTTTGATAATTGATCTTAGAGGAGCCAAATAATATATTATTAATAAATAATAAATAAATATAAAAGGAAGATGAAAGAGTGAAAGGATAAAATTGTAGATATATACTTAAATATATTAAATAATCATTAAATTTAAAGGGGACAAAATCATAAATTATATGAGAGTTACAAAACTAAGGAGAGGCTAAGAGGATAAAATTATAAATATACAAGTAAATATATTAAATGTTCATTAAGTTTGGGGGAACCAAAATCATAAATTATACAGGAGTTACAAAACTTTTGGGGCCACGACCCCCCTCAGCTCCCAAGAAGATCCGTCACTGGCCACGTAGAGGGAAGGAGAGACAAACATACATTATAATGTGATAAGAAAAGAGATATACGTAAGAATAGATGAAAATGTATTGATAGAATGTTTTCACTAAAGAGATTTTTTATGTAACCCAATTTTCTTTGAATTTAAAATTAATCGATTTAAAAAAAAATGTGATGATATTTTTTTTAAACAAGGAACGCGAATTTTATATCAAACTATATAAGGGTTAACGTAAAAGTTATGTTTTAATCTCATCAGGTTTCTTTTTCTCCCCACGTGCGAGGGTTTCTAAATGACGATGATACCAATGGCTATTCCAACTCCTCTCAGGGTACATTTAGACCATAATGAGCAACAAAAACACCTACATTGTCCCATTTTTTGTGGTTAATATTTCTCTCTAATTGAATTTCAGTTTTAGAGCGTTTTTTGTATATTTGAGATTAATATTCTATGTCTTATTTTTTATGTTCAAATTGAATCTGTGATTGTTTATGAGGATTTCAATCACGTTATTATATGAATGTCTCTACTGAATTGTTATTGAAATTGAACTATTGTAGTTTGTAATTATTTTTTTATTCGTTTGAGTGCATTTACACTTTATACACTACATTTTTATGTTTTCACGATTTAATTGTTTGAATTCCACGTTTTTTGTTTATATTAAATTTGTTTTTTTTTTTAATATGAATTTGTGTTTGAATCTTTAGGAGTGACGAAAATTTATAACATAAGTAGATATGGATCGAAGTTGGATGAATGCACGTTGTATTAGTGAAGAGTACGAAAAGGAAGTTGATAAATTTTTGAAATTTGTTCGTGAAAATGGAAAACCTATAAAAGAGAAATATTATTGTCAATGTGTTTGTTGTTTAAATCAAATTCGTCATGAACTTGGGGATATACATGATCACTTGTTTGTTTATGGTATTGTTAAAGAGGTATACAATATGGACATGACATGGAAAAATATTAGACATCTCAACTATGTCAACAACAAACAATTTTGAAGAAGAAATGAATGATAATTTAGAGGATATGATACGTGATATTGGTGAAATTTTTTTTAAGAAAACACATATGTATAATTCTTTTAAAATTTGATTTTTAGCCACAATTATACACAGGATGCAATTTTACAAGATTATCAATAACTTGGATGTACTGATAAAAGTTTTACCGAATTATTGGAGTTGTTGAAGGAGATACTTCACGAAGATAATGTTAGGTATTTCTGAGGAGGCTAACAACAGGGAGATCCTCACAAATGAGACACGAGTCAACCATATAAGAGAATATGACATCATCTTCAACCTAAAACCTTAAGGCATTAGGTTATGAGTCTTTCTCACTTATAAGTTACTCAACTTTCCCATTTCTACCTAATGTGAAACTTCAAACTCACACTTTGAATTTTCAACACATAACACATTTCCTAATCGTAACTATGAGGTAAATAAGATATTATATCCAATGGATTTAGAGTACAAGAATGCATGTCCTAATGATTGCATATTGTACAAAAATGAGTTTGCTACATTAAAGATGTGTTTGACATGTGGTTTGTCGCGATTCAAAAACAAGTTGATGGAAGTAGTGGTTAGGAAGAAAAATGTGACCCATTTGCTAAGGTGCTATGGTATTTGCTGATAATACCTAGGTTTAAAAGATTATTTGTCATAAAAGAAGATGTAAGAAGCTTGATATGATTGCGAATGGTAGAAAATGTGACAATCTTCTTCAACATCCAACTAATTCTCCACAATGGAAGAGGATTGATAAAACATTTCCAAAATTTAGTGCATATATGTTGGTGCTACAAATAGAATGTGTGAGAATGTGAGAAGAGAAACCCCACATCAGGGAAATTATATGTTGGTGCTTACTTTTCTTATTATAAAAGGAACACAATATTTACTTTATAAATCACCTCAAATTTTTTCATTCTCCTTTATACTAGTGTATTGCATAGTAATTGAGTTCTCTTATTTCTAAGAGAGAATATTATTTTTGTTTTCTCCTTATATTTAAAGAGGGTATTATAATTTCCTTCGGTAATAAAATTCTATTATTATTTATTGTCTATTTTGTTTTGTCTTTTCTCATCTTTTATTTTAGTTGTGAGTTCTTATGCAATTAATCTGATTCCTAACACTGGTATTAGAGTCGATGATTGGTTTCTTATTTATGATATTATTCCACGAATAGTGTTGGAGAAAATTCTTAGTATGCTCTGTGGTTACGGTTAATTTGATATTCTGCATCAGAAAAGAGTTATTCTAGTAATTGGATATAAAGTGTGGTAATGTGACAGTGCATGTCTAGGAAAAGTTTTGGCTAGGAAAAACTTGGTATTTAAGTGTGTCTATCAGTGACCCAACTCTCTTTCTTGGAAGCTTACCTGGTGTACTAGTTACAGTTTATGTTGTTTCTCATTGTGGAAATTGAAGTTGAAGGTAATTTTGAAAAAAGACAATTATGTAAAAGCATTTGGAGAAAGATCGTAGGTATCACAAATCGAAGGTGGGAAGAAATTTACCACAACGTTATAACAAATTTGTGGAGAAAGGCACAATGAAGGAGATTTGGGAAGTTTCTT